CTTCAAGGGCAGATCCAGGGGGTGATCTACCCCCTTTTTTGGAGCTTAAAAATATAGAAATCAAAATTATAATATAAATAAATAAATGAAATGAATTCTGAATGGGAACAACTAAAGYAAMATTCATRGAAATTTTAATTTCCTCAGTCCAARCATTAMATATTTTGTCTTTAGATAGCAACTCTCTTTGYAATGTTCAGGATCCGTCACTGCAGCATACAATTTATATTGGTATAAAGAGGGAGTAATAAGATGCCAAAACAAATAYTGAACAGAATTTTACTCTAAGCATTAAAAGATWCCTCTAAAAAAGAGAATGAGATGTTATCTCAATTGCMAAACTGGGAGTTTAACCCTCGGCTTTGGCTTCACAGGAGATCACTGTCCAAAGAGAAAGAGAGAGTGAGGAATGGCTGACATATTGTCATTAATCTTRTTTTTCTTTAATTTTTTACTTTACAGCTAGAATGTCCTGATGTCTAATATTCTGATGTCAAGGAGTGGAGCAGCATTTGAATAATGAACAAAACTGGAAGGAGGAGTAGTTTGATGCACCTACCCATCAMAACAGAATCACCAAAGAAATCTGAAGAAACGCCTAAAACTGTAATAAAAGTCCCTAAAAAGAGCTACAGAAGAAGACGAAGAGCTACACTTGCAGATCTGCGTTGCATCGATATTCTCAAACCTATTAAAGAATCTGAAGATGAAGAAGATCAGAATGCGTTTCCAGATCGGTTTCGAACAACATCGTATGACAATCTGGAATTGTCATTTAGCCAAAGGATGGACAGATACTTGACAAATAACATTAGTAATCCAGAAGCTGCTGATGAAAAGCGGCAGCAAGAGGACGAGCAGCAGCAGCAGGAGAACGGTCATCAGGACGAGCAGCAGCAGCAGCAGCAGGAGGAGAAGGACCATCAGGAGGAGGAGAAGGAAGAGGAGGAGAAGGGCCATCAGGACGAGCAGCAGTTGCAGGAGGAGAAGGGCCATCAGGAGGAGGAGCAGGAGGAGGAGGAGAAGGGCCATCAGGAGGAGGAGCAGGAGGCAGAGGAGAAGGGCCATCAGGAGGAGGAGAAGGAAGAGGAGGACAAGGGCCATCAGGAGGAGGAGCAGGAGGAGGAGGAGAAGGGTCAGCAGCTGGAGAAGGGTCAGAAGGAGGAGAAGGAAGAGGGGCAGGAGGATAACAGCGATTTCGATAATGTTAAGAGCACATTTCATGAAGATAGCGGAGAGAGTGACGATGACAGTATATATAGTGTCGGAGCGATGGAGATCAAAAATTCAGTTACAAACTACGAGATATCTTATATAAGCGACAATGAGGATATTGTAAACCGCCTTGATAGAGAATCAGCTTCTTCACCTGATAGTGTGCCATCAGTCCGTTCACAATCTCCTGTTGATGATGCAGAAGARCTTTATGAGACTTTAAGCGGCATAGAAAATAGAATTCCTCGACGAAAACGAAGTTACAGCATGTCCACCGGGTGTGAGCTACCGTCAATTACGGAAGAATTGGAACGACGRAGGAGCTTGATGTCAAGAGCCTCGTCAATTGTTAGCGATGACGTGTTTGTAGTAGAAACAAAGGGAAAGCAAACAGATAACGCAAGCAATTTTCCACCGAGAATGGATGGAAACCTAGAAAATATCGAGAAAATTGACACCAAACTGCGAAACGATTCAAGCAGAAACCAACTCCTTAAAGATTTCACAAAAAATGCTCTAGCATCTAAGATAATTAGGAGAAGGAGTATAGCTTGTCTTCTACCTGCAGCTGTAAAGAATACTAATTCAACATCTACTACGGCAAACGTCAGCTCTTCAAGCTCCAAAACAGATGTTACAAAACAGCGTAGGCAGTCCCTAGAATCACTAGTGTCGTCTACAACGTTTGATAACCATGCCAAGAAACAATATATTGATGATAATAACAATTTGAATCATCCGCAAAGTAAAAGCATTAACTTGAAAACTAACCAAGGCAATTCCGAGAGCAAGAATTTAGTAAATACATTAAAGCAAAAAGTCAAAGCAAGTCTCCTTCGAAGGAATTCAATCGCATCAGCCAAACCATGGACTGGTGCAATTGAGATATCACTTGCACCRTCCTTTGATCTTCATAGCAGTAAGAACAAAGATGAACTTTCAGCTGAAACACCAAACAAAGCTCAGGGATCTGGAGCTAACAGCCAAACGAGCATCAATGATGTCGTCTCTAAGCTTAAAAAGCAACCAGCTGCGCAAACTACTGCTAGTGGTAAAGACCTGCGGCCTAATAACAAACCAAACTCGTGCCTTAAACCTGCTCGTGAATCTAACCCAGTGAAAACTCAAATGAAGAAGGACAATCAAATAAAAAAGGAAACRAAACCAACAGCAGTAAAAAGTGTTGCTAAGAAAGCACCATTAACAAAAAGCTTATCAATGTCATCATTGCCTATCAAGAAAGCATCGACGACAAAAAATGACCYAACTAAACGGCCGCAGTCTCCCAGCCAGTGGAACAGAAGGATGGGAAATGAATCAAATACCCATAAGCCACTTGTGCGTACTCAAACGCCTCTCAAGAAGACTGATGTAGATTTGAAAAGATCTGGTGATGGGTCAAAAACAGCGCCAATCAAACCACTGAAATCTTCAGTATTGCCATCTAAATCACGTGATCCTAAATCGACAATAAATGCTGTTAYGAAGAAACCAGTTCAAGATAAAAACGCGCAAAATTCAAAATCTTCAATTGGAGAGAAACCTAAAAGAGTTGAGAAGATAGAAGACAAAAAAACAGTTTCTAATAATTGCAAGAGAAAATCCGACCTAGCGACCATGCCAGTGGGTTTAAAGCGAGAAAATTCTCTTTCTAGAACAAAATTGAGTAGCAAGAAACAGGAAGAAGCGCAAGGTAACTCACAGAAAAAAACAACAGCTAAAGACAAAGTATCGAAACTTGATAAAGATAACAATGCTAGTTCTGATAAAAMACCGCAAGAAACTATGAAGGAAAAGAAGAAAAACACTTCAAGTGCAGGAAAACTAGATAGCAAAACAAATAGGGATACATCTCCACCAGTTCAAGATGGAGAGGMTTCTCCACCAGTTAAAGAAGCTGGTCAGCAAGCAAGTAAAGACACCACTAAAACAGGACCCCAAAMACTAGACAAAAAAGATGAAACTGCTACTTCAGTGCCAAAAGCTGGCGAGCAAACGAATGAAGCACTTGATAAAAAAGAGTTTAGTCCAAACAGCCAACTACAACAAAGTAATGAGAAAGGGAGAGATGATACAAAAGAAGAGTCCAGACTCAACCCGAAGAAGAAGGATGAGGCTACAACCGAACGAAAGGCATCTGTGAACGTCATTAGACGTCCAAAAACGTCCTTAACTATAACAATCCCAAGTACTGTAAGAAAACAGGCGGACGAGACCAGCAAGCAGTCTACTATTAAGAAGGTAAATGATCATGAGGYAAGCCAAGTTTCTGTACAAGCAAATAGTGATAAAAAAGCAACTACTGCCAAGGATAATGATTTAGAGAAGGAACTAGAAAGTTTTAGCGTGATGCTTGGAGAGTTAGAAAGCTCGTCTGCAAACGACGACGCGTCGTCAGGGAAGCATTGCTCTCATACTGTAGCAAAAACAGATGAAGTTGTACCTACTGAGAAACGATTTGCTGCACTGAGTGAGCGGTATAACGCTATCATGGCACGATTTACAAAGAAAGAGTCTCAGACACASGGTACCATTGAAAATAAGTTGACAGTTGAAAAAACAAAACCATTATCTTCAAGTAGGGAAACTAGTATTTTAACTGTTAATACAACTAAAGAAAACGTGACGGTTGGCTCTTCTTCATCGAAAAATGATACTGACGCTTTGCTCCAAAATGACTCGCCACAAGCTGCGTACGAAACAAGATCTTTTCTTGTTGAAAATGGGAATGACATTAAGAAAGCTGAARAAAAYAAAGAACAAGAACAACYCTTGATTAAATCAATRGAGGAKAAAGAAAACCATGTTGAAGTTGCCGACGATAAAGTGCAACAGCAGCAAAAATCTTCCGCAAAAATGAATAGTTTTCTAGGAGAGAAGGATTTAAAGGCACGCAACGACAAAGTTACCAACAARGAGCCATCGGTTTTCGTTGAGAAGTCAGTATTTTCTGAGCAGAAGACMCAGAAATCTACRGAGAACATTGACAACAACATACCAAAATATAATGATAAAGAAAMACARAATTATGAACTTTTTCAAGAAAAAAGTAGCGAGTTGTCAGAACGTCGTCATTTTGAAAATACTCCCAAGACAGACGACAAAAAAAGATCGATGACACCAACGCTGTCCGAGGCAAACAAATCGGGCGTTTCTCTGCGAAGATCCTCTTCATTTTCRCTTGGTAGAAATACAGATTTAGCCGAGAGGATACGAACTTCAGTAGAACGAAAAAGCTTCTTGTCGTCATCTGACAAAACTAGGAGTTATGACAATGGATATCAGTTGCCAGCTGGAACATCAGTTATAGCACAGAAAATGAGAAAAAAGYTTGAAATAAGAAAGGCTCTTGAAGTCCGACGGTCGAGAATATATGAAGATAAAGACATCCCGTCAACAATGGAGCAATTCAACAAATATCGAAGTATCTTGGAAAAGGAAAAACTAAAAACTGAAGTTAAAACTGAGGTAATATATCGTAATGGAGATTGTTTAGCGCACAGCTTTGTTGATCATATATCGATGAGTCCCAAGTGAATAGTTTAATGCGCCACATCTATCCTCAACCTCTGTGATTGTGGGTTTGGATGTGTAATACCCTCTTTATTTCACTTGTTTTATCGTTCTCCCATAGTGTTTATCAGTTCATGACATGCTTACCAGTTTGAGATCATCACCAATGGAAATGGAGCTYATAGCACTTTGTAAAGAATGTACCAAAACACTAAGAACACTGGATGCTCTTGGAAGTCTGCGTAAGTATATAATAACCGTACGTCCGCTGATACGTAACGCTAACATGCGTTGACGTAAGTAGTAACCTTGATCAGATCAAACAACTCTTGTGCATGCCAAATGAAATTACAAAACATGATATTACGAGTATCAGCTCCATTGCTTTGTAAGCTTTTATGTCGATTTGAGTGGTAACTTTGTTGTTTTCTTGTAGCTGCATATCTATCACCAGACACCATCATTGTGAACCCAAGTGGGACCATCAAGTTCAAACACCTAACATCAGGTAATCAACAATATAATAGATAGCTTAAAATAGGGAAGGAAACTCAAGTTAACTGGTATTTGCATCCATTCATTATTGCCAAGTTTTTTTAGGGAAATAAARTGCATGAATTACTYAYATGCTTTGWTGGGTATACTAAACGTAATATCTGAAATTTCCGTAAATTWTACGGAGAAAACCGTAAACCGTTACGGAGAAGATTCCGTGGTGAARGTGTTCCTGCRCTCCTTCCACAACATTCATTTTACATTAGCTATGTTTATAAAGCTATAAATACTTTAAATTGCGCCGTTAATAACACATAATCCTTCTACACAATGCAGACATTGTATTCTGATAATCTTTCTAATAGAATTCACAAAAATAATGTTGATGGCCATTTCTGCAAGCTTTTAAGCGGAATTARGAGATCAGTTGATATGATAATATACTTGATGTTCAAATAACTRCATAAAAGGTTGTTGTTATTTGCGGTTATTTAGGTAAGTTATAGAATCACCGGTGGAAGTAGTAAAAACTCATAATAATGGTTGATGCAGCTGAAAGGCGCATTCGTTGATTGCCGCCAGTTCAGATACATATTTTCGATATCAAACTATCTTAARCAAAATAGTTTTTCCATCGGAAGCAGTCAATATAAAACCTTCATTATTGTGGATCTTAGCTATCCAAGTAAAACAATTGAAATTCTGTGAATAGGATACGTTTTGTTGCTAGAACCTTTTTACTGTTATTAAACCAGTCGACCGTTTCATAGACAATTTTCAATGCGAAGACATTGTATAATATAGATGTTTTAGCAGACAGAAAAAATGGCAAATGGAATTAACAGCTCTGAATGCCATATTACCCGTTCAAAAACATATATAAAACTTTTATATTTTTAAGAAATTGGATCCGCCATCGTAGATGGATTTGACTAAAGTTTGCGCAAAGGTTGTTTCTGTCTAAACAACATTTTGTCTTACTCTACACAGAGGTAAAGATTGATGATCTCCTTCTTGCACCAGATTATTCCAAAACGTATCCTCAAACTGAAAAGGTAAGATTGATAAGTTAGAGTAGCATAGGGATCGATCACTTGAGAGAGAAGAGCCATTTGAGGGGAAGGGAGGGGGGTTGGGTTTGGGTAGTGTTATCAAGTTCTCACTGATGATAAAATGATAAACCAAGCGATTCTTCGTTTGCAATATACGTCACAGCCGCCATCTTGGTTGAACTTCAACAAAGGATTTCTAATTAGTATCTATTGTTCATTCAACCAACATGGCCGGCGGTCTTTTATCTTTTGAATCTCATGAGGATGATTGAAAACGAGCAATTCCATACGTAGATAATCATTTAGGACGGATGATCACTTGCGTTTTTACCACGTTTGCGCGTGTTACACGCGCTTTGATGCAAAGGTATAAACATTACCATATAATATTGTAGACTTGCGTTTTATGATGGTTAACACGTGGTATTTCCGTAAACGTATAAGTGGGTTTCTTTTGTGGAGCTTTATACGAATTAAGTCAGAGTTACTTGTTGCGGTTTACGCAAGACATATACCTGGATTCACCGCGTGTAGGCATCCGCGCGGCGCGCTCTGCATCATTACGTACCATTGTTCGCATGGTAATAAAAAAGACAAACAAAAGAACCAGTCAGTCCAACCGTGTGTGAAGCAGACGTTGGAGGGTTYGATTGCAGATGTTTTTACGTTAAACGCAAGTCAAARCCTTCAGTCTTAGCGTTTCCTTGTTCGCTTTTAACAACTCGTAAGTAGATATAGTGTTAATGAGTGCGTTTACGTAAGTACTGTTGTGTTATCTGTTGTTGTATTTTGGCTGCTTTCAGTAAGCGATAATAATGTGTAAGTTACGCGTATGGTTTGTTATTTGTGGTTCTCTTATCCTATTTTAAATAGACTCAAAGTGGCTCTGCATAGGAGATAACATCACCAGTACATTATCACGTTTCGAGACTCGTTCTATTGTAGTGAAAAGAGTTACACACGGCACATAGTAAAGTSTTTAAGATGACATAACTGCACAGTACAGCTAACATACAATTATTTGGTTTGGTTATGTACTTTAAGATGGAAATGTTGACTTCAAAAGTGAGATGTTTAATTGCAATACGTGTMCTGTTCTGGACCKYGAAAGCTCCTCATCGCTGTAAACATAMCACAGAACCACGAAACGTCCTCGTTAAAGAATGACTAGCATATATTTTAAGTTTTATTAAGATAATTTCAAACTGCTGTTTTCGATTATAGCTATAGTTTCTAGTGTGGACAGTCTACAATCCAATGTTTACAAAGTTTTAGAAGTTCTAAGTGATCGAGTCTAAAGTTCTTCAAACTTAAGYCACAGCCTAGAGAAGGCTAGACAAGGACCAGACAGTCTCAAGTGGTCCGTAAAGACCTTCAAAAGTCCATTTTCGTGCCTGGAAAATTCTAACCTTGGGTTTCGATAGCGCTTAATTAACAGTCTGCATTAATTCTYATTTGATTGAAATCGCGTTAACAAAGAGYCCGATAAATGTTCTCAAAGTCTTTGTGTCTCCTCACAAAGCCACATAACAGCGTACGTTGTCATTAATCTTAAGTATTGTCCTTTCTATAGGAGAACGAAATGGCTTTTTCCGTATTCAATTATATCTATAGATTATTGATGCTTCACGTTCATCGAGTTTAATCKAAATTATTCTTTTCCCTCGTAAGCGTTTGTTTGCATAGTTRGTTATTTTTTTCGTGAATCAATTTGCGTSTTTTTATTGATTTTGGTTTGACAGAATAATCTTTTTAAGTGTTGACGTAGCGACACGCAAAATTACGCGACGAAATTCGGCGATCCGTAAACCATTATTCATGTGACTGTGACCTGCTTCAGTCACCATGGAAAAGATGGTGGGAACTAGCGGTAAACTAGTGTGAGCTGCGTCGGTGTTTCTAAAGAAACAGTTATGTAAAAAAACATAAATTTAACACCGTAAAAAAGTAGATGAAATAAGTTACTGACGTTTCGGACGTTCATCCTTCGCCATAGAAAAAAGCAGAGCGTATTGTCTGTTACAAATACATAGCAAAACTATTATCACTAAAATGTGTTATTTTGAGGTAAATGAACTTATAATACGCAGACGTTYTGAAAGCTTTATCCGAGATTTCCGATACAAATGTGCTACAACTTTACACCTTTCTGATTGGTTAGAACGCATAGGATTACAAAAACGTCAAGATACCGGTTGAAAGAAGAGTCAGAAATCCAATAATATCCCAGTTATGTATTGCCAGATAAGCTACAATTGTAGTATCATGTTATCATATACCGGATTGTATCGCACCAATTCAACTTGCTATCATCTTTAACATGTACTGGTAAACTTAGTGGCTCTTTTACTTTGCGTAACAACACGTAACGGCTAACGAAAATGTATATATGACACGTATCTACTTAAACACTGACTTAGGACTCATTTTGTAACGTATGGATCAAACGCGCGCATGTTTCACGCAACACTAAGTTATCTAATRTTACTGGTCAGGGTTGCACTGTAGTTAATATGCAAGCGTTGAAGGCAGACCTGAGGCTTTGTGAATTGGTGTTAAGGTAGTTATAGGGTTGATTTACAATCTTAAACTAACAAAATTTATCGTGTTTTGTGACAGACGAGTGTGTTTAGCCTCGCGGTTACGATATGGCTAGCATCTGACTGGAATCTCACAGATGCGAACAAGCCATCGCTGTCTCAGCCCTTCCAAGATTTGCTGTGTTCTATGACACGTGATTCATCAGCTGATAGACCAGGATTTGACTCTATTCTTCAGGTATTGTAGCCACAGTAGCGTACAGCTAGTTATTTTTATCAGCTACATACAGATTAAGACTAATATCTGTAGCTGCTTGTTTGCGTCACTTTCGCTTTGTGCTTCACTATCATGCCATTCACTGCGCATGCTCTGCAATAGGGACATTTATTTATTTATCTAATAATTTATTGAYGTTACAACAGACATGCGAGCTGTTGCAAACAGACGAGATGACGTCACGAGAAAGATGCCAGGCCTTATTATGGGAGTGCCAGGCTACCAAGGTGTTAGACAAACAAAATGTAAGTTCAGTCACCTCCCTGGTTCAATTTTTGTTTACAGTACTATAACATTAATGAATACGTGGCAGTTATACACCAATATAAACAACGGTCTATCACGGGATATACCRCTGACAGGTATACAACTATCGCAAWGGAYCATGRTGTAGTATAAAAGGGCGTTTTATCGGCGACGAAGTTACAGACTTACAGACACCAAAAGTTTCTTAATTTACAAGGCCCGAMGAAGGAAAACTGTGCATGGTACAGGTTAAATCTTGGTCGTGCTTCAACATGAAGCCCCTGCGCTGTCGTAGCATGTGGTAAAATCATGACATCACAATACGTCAGAATACATGTCATGTCAATGTGRGCGAAATTACTTTTACAAAGCAGACGATTTTAAGGGATTATGTAAGGTCACTCAATGGTTGTTCTTTTTACCGCTAGTCAAATCCACAATAAATCTGGCTAAGATGACCATTTTAGCTTTCAAATCCATCTCACAGACATAATGATAATAATCTACACCTGTTTTGGTTGCGGATTATCGTTCTTGCCTTATATACAAGGCCTATATTAAGTAATACGACGAACCTCTCCTTGTGATAACTAATCCTATAGTCAACAAAATATGATTCGAACTAGATAAACACTCACAAATACGTGGGATGAATACATTAGTYCAGCGCTATGGCCATTACGTTATGAATTGTTTTGAAACAAGGAAAAAGTATTGACTAAAATCAGTGCTTTCCGTTGTACAAATAGCCTCTGGTGGCTGGATCCCTTGATGGTATTTGGAAAAGTCGCCTAAAGACAAATGTATGTTTAGTAGCTCTCTTATTAATGGCACTCTTTTAGTTTGAGAATCTTGGGGCTGACTGATAAGAGTATGTTAGGTAGTTTAAAAACTGTTTCCTATACTTTTTCAATTTGTCACAAACTATTTAGCTTGTAAATTAGGTCACTTAAAAACAATCAACTTCACGTGTTGAAATCAATGCAAACTCTAGTCTTGTTTTGCTCATTATCATCCAGATCATCTTATTTGCTTCGAATTCGACACCTTAAACACGCACTCATCAGTTATTTGAAGAGAATTTTTGTTTATTTATGAAAAATCATTCTAAGAATGAATTTTCACTTTATAAAGTGAGTCATCAATTCGGTAGGAGCTTATTTTTATCATTTCTTTATACACTTCTTTAAATCATCAATTTTTTTTCATTCTCTTCCATTCATTTGTTTATTTTCTTTGATTCAATCGCATCCGGCTCGTGCTTTTCCATTCTGTTTGTTATGATTTTATCCATTATCCGTTTTCATTGATGTATTCTCATCTATTCATTTCCATTCAGTCATAAAATGAATGATTGATTATATTTTTCATATTCGCCGCACAATCCGCTTCTATATTCAGTATTTTTTTCACTTATCTTCATTCCATTTTCAGAATGATGTGAATGTAGACGATGCTATCAAATCACAGCATGTCAATCTGAGAGGACCAACGTCTTTAACCGTTCAAGGATTTCCTAATTCAGTAAGTCTACTAAAATCACTGCACAAAACTATTATTAGAAATGCAAATCTTTAAAAAAGCCATTACCTAACTTCTCATCTTCCATAGGTATCAGTAAAAATTCTGCTTATGTATTTTTTTAATTTGTCAATTTTTTATGATTTTTTTCGTATCGACGTTTTTCGACGCCATCGCGCGATGGCGTCGAAACGTCGAAATTAACTCTTGTTGTCCTAACTTGTTTAACCAAACTTATTAAGCACAAACCGACTAATTTTTTCGTATTATACTCATATATATTAGTGATTTTTTTGATAAACGTACCATAGAGTGAAGGCCTTAAACCAGTAATGAATACTGGCGGGATTACAATAAAACATATATAATAATGTGCCTTTTTTGACTTTTTTTAATTGAATATATTTACTCACTTAACCACAAAGAATCGTCCTCTTTCCAGTTAATATTATGAATTTGTTCCTATGATTTGTAATGAAAGGATTTTAATTCTCATATATAGATATAAATTATCATTAAATAGAGCTGCACTGGTTATGGTTATTTCTCAGTCATGCATCATATATACGAAACATATACATATATTTTGCTCAGTACAATGTTACAAATTGATTAACTCTATTTGTTGTTATCTTATACACTGCCGGGTTTAAAGYTTTTAAAGCATTGAGACGCTACACAAAGCTTTTTGTTTTCTCAGTTCAATTCTAGAATATATTTCGGTTTATCTTTTTGATAAATGACCCCCTAATTCAGTGTTTATGTAAGGTACTTCCCGCTTTTGTAGAAAAAACTAATCCAATTTTATTCACCAATTGCAGTTGGTATCATAAATAATGTTAGGCCTTGCTGTAGGTAAAGATTAAATTTTCAATATTTAGTACCAAGTTCGGTGTTTTGATGCCTCTGTCGTCTTTGCATTTGAGACTGTGGAGTCTGTAGAGAGTAGACTTGGAAACTTGTAAGACGAGACATGTTTCAAACAAAGTATGCAAAACAGATCACTATCGTCATGGTTTATATCACAAGCTTTTGTTTCATGCACGCAATAATATTCATTTCAATTCCCTCACAATACTGATATCCGCCTAAGTCCCAGTTCCATTTGTTTGAAAGAAAGTTTTTTTCTTTTCCCGCTTTGTCATGGCACGTTTTCATAGAAATTTTCCYAGCTGTTTTATCAAAGTCCGTCAGTTGATGCATAACATCTAAAGATTCCTGTTTTTTATTGGTTGATATTGTTTGGTTTTATTTTTAGACTGATTATCCGACGGAAACCAAGAATCACGATAAAGTCACYAATGATCACATGAACCCGAAGCCACCATCTCCATCACTGAGCGCATTTGGACATCCAGTTATGGATCCAAATATGGTATTCTCKCCGATCAATTCTGTCAGCGGAAATCCGCATCTAGGCATGTCTAGCATATCAAGTAGTGATATGTCATTAAACCAGGCAGCCACTCCCACTTTTGTCCCTATAGCTGTACCTATCCCTRCTGCTGGGCCATCACCGATGTGGTACATGACCCCTAAGGGAATAGTCCCTATTGGCCAAATGGGACATCACCCTGGATATTTCGTACCACTTCAGCACGGCGGTATGTCGTCTACTGTGCCAGAAAGTGACATGACTGAAGTGGAAGWGGCTAGACCTGTTCGGCGCGGCTCAAGGCCAAGTACTCCTACCAAGTCCGAAAAGAGGGATTCGGAATCAAAACGATCTACTGCATCAAGTGAAAAATCAAAGATACCTCGTCCCTCGTGGARTTTGCAGAAACCTCGCTCGCACAGCACGCCAACAAACGTAGCGTGTGAACAAGAAGCTTTATCAAATCCCAGTGAYAGAGAAACTCCATCAAACATTTCAAACCCTTATCGGCCAAACACCCCACCAATAAAACTTCGCTCTTCTGGAGAAGACCGAGAATCGAGACGAGCTAGAAAAGATTCCCGGCCAGAAGAACGAGTCCCAAGATCTGCKAGTCCAAGGTTAGAAAGATCTCGGCCATCCAGTCCTAGCCTTGCAGGTGCTAATTCTGGATCGAGACCTTCAAGTCCGGTTGGCTCAAGGTCGTCTAGTCCTGTATCATTACTGATTTCCAAGTTTGAGGAGCTTTCGGAATCAAAATCAAGCGAAAGTGCACATTCTGTGTCGAATCTCCTGAACAAGTTTGGCTCATYTTCTTTGCTGAGTGAAGATCGCATCACAAGGAAACATTTCAGGACAAATTCAACACAAAGTTCCAGGACAGGGCCACTCAGACCTTCATCTGCCATGGAGCATGCGTCCTCGCTTGGTGTCGATAGCACTCAAGGTCTTTCCAAATCGTGGTCTGGACAAACCTCGGGTCAAGCTGATTCATCGTATGATGGCAATGATTCAATATATTCCAGCCCAGAGACATTCATTTCACCTGAAAGAAATCGACATAAAAGCACCTTAGGAACGTCACCTTTGGCGCAAGACGAAAGGAAAAAGGCATCAAGCGTCTCAGGAGAAGCCCGACTTCGTTTGATATCATCACTCGAGGACCTTTATGAGAGTTTGAAAGAGATCGACAACGAGTCTGATGGTCGKCCACTGAGGAGGCTACGCAGAAATTGGACTTCTATGGAAAATATCGAACGGGACAGGCAAGAAAGTCCAAGCATTTCGTACCCACTTAGGAAATCTACTTCTGAAGGAAATTTGAAAAATGATGAAAGTACTGAAAACAGAAATTTAAATTTTGAAAGGGGAAGAAATGCTCGGACTATATACAGTGAACGTGGACGGCAGAAACYATGGTTGCATGAGAAATCCAKYGAATCTGTTGGAAAAGCAGAGGTTCCCCATCCTAAAAACGACCAAACACTTAACGACTTTTCAAAGGCGTCTAACATATCTGATCTCCTCAGAAAACTTGGCAGACACAGCGAGACAGATAGAGACATGAACACAAAAACAGCTTTCTTACAACCAGAAAGAGATTACAATCCAGAACTCCATCATAGATTTGACATCCCCGTTGCAATGGCTGTCATGGATGGTGAGGGTGAAAGGCGAGGGCATAGCTCATTTAGTYCTACTTTGTTCAGCCCTACAGCCGGTTTCAAAGATACAGGCTTCTTCCAACATCCAGTCAAATTAGAGAAAGTTCCCCCACCTATAAGCCCACCGGCACCTCTGTCACCGTCTGTCAAAGACTTCAAGCCAACCAACTTTTTTACCAATCTGTCATTTACATCTCAAGAAATGAAACCAGAAAGAGATACAGGTCTTGATACGAATATTRATAACCAAAATAACTGGATCGAAAAGTCGTCGAAAACGGACAAGAAAATCCCACAAAAATCAAATTCTATTGACAACCAATCAATGGAAGGTGATACGGATGAAACGAGAACAAGTCGTTCAAAGACAAGACATTCAAGTTCTTCTGGAAGCAGTTCTGGGAAATCTTCCGAGCGTAGGGGCTCGAACTCATCCAAAGTATCATCGGGCTACCAAAGCGATTATCTCGATCGCTATGAGCAAAAAWTAACACGTGCCAGTTCGACCAATAGTGAAGATGAACCAGAAAACTYGCGAAAGTTTCATCATAGATATTCCAGTAATCCAACGAGTGAGAACGATGACGAMARTACCAATACCAGGAAGGAGAAAGAAAGGTCCTCAAGACCTGTACTGCTTAATACACCATTAAAAAAGTCGTCTTCGTCAACAAATGTTTCAACAAGTGCTACACAAACACATAAAACTAAACCTTCTAGTGTTCCTAGTACCCCTACCGAACGTCACTCTGGAAGTTCGGTCACCACCTGTAATAATAAAACGTCCAGGGGTTCAGCAAGTTTACCAAGCACACCAAACGTCGAGAACAAGAGTAAGCCTTTTTTCAAATATGTTAGTCCTAATTCATCATTRAAAAAGTCTTCCTCCAGACCACCCTCTTCGGAACCATCTCCAAATGGGAATCGACGGTCAGTCAAAGAAAATAGGTTTGACTTTTCAGAGAGGGCACTTCAAGATAAAATTACGGATTTGAAAGCTTCAKGCACAAGACATTCTCCTCCTGCCTCTGTAGAAAGGGGACCGAATTTGTCATCTTCSCCAGRAAAGAATGGTTCTTCGGATTTCAAAAGTCTACCATCACCCATTGAAACCAGGAAAACGATGTCCCCAACTGAACCAAGAAGCCCGACATCCCCGGTWTCATCTTCCTCCTCCTCGTCATCTCTTTCACCAAGGTTTCCTACTAACAAGTTTATATTTTACAATCCTCAAAGTGAATCAGCTCGAGAAAGACATTTTTCGCCTACGGAGCATGTCAAAAATTCGGTTCAGAAAAGATATGTAATCACAGACACAAGTAGACAAAAGAACACTTCAAAACCCAAGATCAAAGAAAATAGTGATTTCMAMTCTCAMGGRATTCCAGTTGTTGGTAACTCAGAAGCAATCAAAGCAGAAACAAAWAGTGAAAKTAAAGAGTYATTACCAAGAGAGAACAAAGGAGATCAAACTTCAGCYGATACATCTGGCCAAAMGTTGACATCTCAAAAAACAGATGTCAACAAGAATGTGATCAGAAAAACCTTCTCCGACCCCGAAGAYAAACATAAGCAGAAATCTACAGAATCAAAGACCTTGAGAAACGCTGTACCRTTTATCCCRAAGGCAGCTGCGTCATCTCAACTTAGTCAGAAAGATGTGCAGCAACAAAGAGCACTAMGAGAACACAGAAGAGGGTCTCTAGATCTACGAGAAATCTACCACGAAGCTCGACGATCATCCCTCRCTCCACGGATAGACAGCAGCAATTCAGCAGTCAGCCTCGAATCACAGGTGGGCAGACCGAAGTCTATTTCACCACAGCGCCCTCCATCTCCAGGACGAGTTGATTCCAGGGAATTACTAGGTCACTTTGTAAAGAAGGTGCTTAATTCAACAAAGTCATCGCCAAACTCTCCACGAGGTGACTCAAAGGAGAGATCAACAACGACTTCTTCAGTGAACGCAGGTCAAAACAACGAACCTTCATCTGATCCAACCAGATYAAAAACAAGTTCTTATGAAAGAAAAGCACAAACACCATTTAAAGAAGAAGTGTTAGCAAAGACATCTGAAGAAAKAAACAAAACATCTCCTGGAGCGGAAAAAAGGAGAGTTTCTTTCGAAAGAAAASCAAACGGACAGACGCAAAGAGCTTCGGTTGAAAACGAGGAGCAGTTTCATGCTGCATCAACTTATAAACGGAATCCCTCTCTTGAACGAAAACCTGAGGAAAAGAGCGAAATATATAAAAAGCGAAATTCATTKGACAAAAGAGAGAAGGTTGTCCAGGAAAAGGTAGCTGTCCAATCAGAACAAACAACAAGTGCTTCTGGTACTGATGGTTTGGTCAATCCTGATAAAAGTAAAGAAAGGCGACGACAGGTATGTAAATAGTAGATAAAAAACGAAACGGAACAATGAAACAAAATCAAAACAAGGCAAAATGACATATTATCAAAAAGGCATTTTGACATACTTGAAATGCTTTGAAATCAAAAAGATCATAGAAAACGAACGTCTACTAACAGCATTGTTTTGTAATTTCTCCAAATAAACAGAGCATAGAGTCATCTTGTGGGAAAGATATCCTTACAAAACTRGTTGACATGATACATGACGAGTTTGCATTTGATGGTTACCTAGACGACGGCATTGAGGATGTCAATATGGGTAAGACATACACGTGACCTTGTACACTGACTAAGGGCTCATCCCTCTTACCTATGTTTCACAACCTCTGAGAATATTCTGCTTTTCAAATTAACCAACTTATCCTATCCTCCGACCCCCTCCCACACTTTCCTCCCCCCATTCGATTCCCACTAACTATCCCTCCTTCCTCCCACATACATAATGGAAAACAAGAGAAATTTTCGCAAGAGTACATTAATATCCWTATGTGTTTAAGTGCATGGCCAATTTTTCTTCTCTTTGTAGCTGAATATGTAATATCGTTAGCGGGCATGGACGAAGCCATGTTCAAAGAGTCTATTAGTGATCAATATAGTGATCTGTATTGGGATGACGATCTCCTACAAGACATGTATATATTAGTGAATAAATCACTGGAAACGCGAAGGTAAGAATCCATTAAACTAACGTTGGTATAATGAATGCATCTTTTACCAAGAACATGGCTGCCATTTTATTTGGTATACAAACGCCMAAATCACAAAATTCTCATCTAAAATTGTGTACAAAAGCTACTTACTCAGGTACTTYTGTGTTCTAGAAGTRTAATTATTGTGCTCTGTCTTTCACAGGCCGACATTGAGATTCTCAGAAAGTAATGCTGGCCAATTAAAGCGCCCTGAATCGTTATTATCATTGGATTCGTACGGCGAGTCAAGTCGTTTGAACCCCATATCAAGGACAAGCAGCGAGAGAAGCTTCGTKGAGACAAGGGATTACGTGATGTCATCGCTGGGCGAACCGTCACAATTCCTTCCTTTTAAGGTGATTGCTCCAGAAATGACAAGAGACATTATAGAAGAACTAGGACCYGTGTTCGACGACTATCAAAAAGTCATGGTGAGTACAAAGTGATGATGATAACACAATGATGATGGTGATGATGATGATTACTGCTGATGATAGTGATACACATAGAATAATATAATCGTTATCATTTTTGTGTTTATAATTCTAGAAAATAAAGCTTTCTCCTAGTATCAGTGAACTTCTKGAAAAGCTTGGAGCCAAAATCCTTGAAATAGGCCAGCAATTGACTCTAGAGCGTCGAGCCAAAAGAAAGAACATCAAATCGTTTAATAAAGTTTCGGATGTGGACAATAAAAAAGGTAAAGATATTCGCCTTGTTGTTCGTTTTTCTTATGGCAAACCCGTGTACATGAAGAGATTGAATGAATTCCGTGATATTTAGCTGACAAACTGGGGATTTCATGCACTGAAACTTGAATTRACTGCAGCATAAATGAAGGAAACATTGGTTGTGTGATGTACATATCATTCAGACGACAGACATATCCTTATTTTGACCGTCGATTTTGGCGAAAATTTGGCCGGGAAATTGAGAAACTCGAGAATCACCTTTCTTATTTTTCAGAGGTAAAGGACCTTGCTAATAAACTACTGCAGGAGATTGAAGAATGCGACAAAAAAATAATTTATCTGAAATACATTCAAAGAAGGTTAAGGGTAAGTCGTGGTGATCAACCGTTCTTGTTGTCTGGAATTCATTCTAAGATTGACAGTATTGGTAAACAGTTTTATCGTTTGTTTTTTAGAACATTTATGCTGAAAGGTTTGGTCTGGATCACTCTCTCTTAAACTCCTTCATCACAACGTAAGTTGTATTTAAGCTTTCGTGTAGAGCAAACAGCAGAAATATGAACAATACTCCAGGTTCGAGATCTTATTTGTGCAGTCTTAACCTCGAAAGCATGTAATATATTCTTTTATTCAGCAGAGAATCCACTGTAATGCAAACACTCTGTGTACAAAAAAGACAATAACAATTTATGCTTGATTGAAGCTAAGCTTGCATATAAGARAATTCGAAACTGGAGTATTTAGAGTAATATTTAACTTACGAGAYCTCCATCGTGTAATTGTTCTTCCAGGTATGGAGAGTCGTCTATTGCTCTCGAACCAAAGAGACAAAACAGTTGTTTAAGTTTTTCACCGTTGTGGGATCAGCGCAGTAATCTATCGCCTGAATGTCATGGAGAGTCAACCCGAGGTCCAGTCCTTCAGTATGGTACACGACAAGGTCTTCTATCGTACTTGTTTGCTAGGTAAACAGTTGCTTTGGTCACCTTTACCACACACGTGCACATTTCCTGGTATARTCCGGTCTATAGCCCCATGGTTCTGTAGATATTTTCAATCCATTTCTCGTGGTCCAGTCTCAACTCAGTTTGTTCCATCTTACACTATTCTCTTAAGGCGACTTTGGCAATACTGCCTCACACCAAGTCTTCACCGTAATATTTCCCTGTCTCGCTCATTATTTGTCCTGCAGTGCTCTATAGGACAAACCGTTTGTCTCWTATGGAAATATAACCCTTTTGACGTTCTCTTTTACACGTGTCATAGCCTCAAAACCATGTCATACATTATATTCTTTCTGTGAGYATAGAAAACAATGAAAATAGTTTGAAATCCCACGATTTTTATTTTACAAACAATTGAGGCTGATAACTATTCATCTCAGAAAAATGGTTTGTATACTTAGTTTTGTTGTAATTGCAGGCATGCTATGAGTCAAGCCTATGTTAGGTATTTCTTGTATACGTACCGATATTGCTCAACACCTGGCGACGTGTTTGAATTCATCAAAGATAAATGTAGAGCATCTTTAAGGTAAACCTATTATAAATGAACAAAAAATTGAAAGTGAAATATTGAGAAAATGAATAATGAATGAGCGAATATATTCACGAAAGAATGTAGTGATAACACTCTGGTTTGATTTACCTTATTTTCCAGTTTTTCACGCAGTATTTTGTGTTTTTCAATCTTTAGGGTGGACTCAAATAAAGGATACAATCACCAGCTTCAGATTCGGTACCGGGCCCTTGATATATTGGCCGAGTGGGTACATTCTTGCTATCAATTCGACTTTAAGGCACAACCTGACCTACTGGACCATCTTCTGGTATTCCTGAATGAAGAGGTATAGAGCTAGACATTAATGTATTAATATGACAAATATCTTAAACATCATATGACGGCACCTCTATATGACGGACACCTCTATATACCGCACACCTCTATTAGAGCTAGACATTAATGTATTAATATGACAAATATCTTAAACATCATATGACGGCACCTCTATATGACGGACACCTCTATATACCGCACACCTCTATATGACGGACACCTCTATATGACGGACACCTCTATATGACGGACACCTATATATACCGCACACCTCTATGTAACTGACACCTCTATACCAGTCATCTCTATATTATTGACTCCTCTGATATCACTGAAACCTCTACACTGCGGACACTTTTGAACTACATACACCTTTGATTACGAACACCTCTATATCACTGACACTTCTAGATTAYTGACACCTTCGTGTWTTTTGCACCTCAATGTTTCGGATRCCTTSTATACATTTTTCAATAGATTTTGAGATTTGATGGCATCAKTATATTGCTCAGTTTAATTGATTGTCTTAAAATGAACCTTTCGTCCATAGTTGATCCCAGTGGACAGAACCGAACGTGGAGCTATCCTTATCGAGCTAATAACAGAAAAACAAAGAAAGGCCGACGAAGAACAAACAGATGAAACAAGTGATACAACGGCAGTACTGCAGACAGACGAAAACCAAGGTAAAACTAGTTAAAAACAAAGATTTCTGGGATGTCACACTTAGGGGGTGCCACATTATACAGCATTCTGGGATACCACATTTTGTAAAGTAYTCTGGGATACCTACTGTAAAAATTCTGGAATACAACAGTCTGACCAATTGAATTAATTGTATTRTTACTGAAACTTGTATCTGTTTGTAGGTTTACCAACAGAAAAGGATTCTCCAAGAAAGGTAAGAAATAAAGGTTTTCCTCTTTTATCGATCCAATTTTTTAATCAATTATTCAGACATCAATTTTCATTTTGTTATTCGTTTCTTTCATTCCATTCAATTTAGAATAAACGGAAATCAAAATCGCCAGTTCAGTGCTTCAAACGGGGYAGTCCACAAACATCCTCGATGTACAAGCCAACACTGCACTTAAAAGCCATGTCTGTTATTGATCATTCATCAAGGACAATAGCTGAACAACTCACTTTAATTCAACAGGTTTGTCTCGATTTATTGTTCCCATATGCAACTGTGCTAGTAAAACAATAAAATACACAGCTCAGTAGCCCAATGGGTGTTGTCGAGTGCTGGGACTGTGCAGATGTAGATGTAAACGCTAGCACACACTTTACATCAATTTGCTCTTGCTGTAAATTCACTAACATGTAATATTTTTCTATTTGCAGGATATATTCAGTCAAGTACACTCAATTCATTTCCTTAATTCGCGTAACCTGGGGATAGGGGTTGGGCGATCTTCACCCACCAAGGAAGTAAGGCAACAAGACTCCATGCTTGGGTTTACTGCAGGTCGACGAAGAAGCCTTTCAGCTGAGAAAAGTGTAGATAGTCTTCAGAACAAGAACGGGCAAAACCTGTTTGAAGGAGAACCAATCACAGACGGACTACTAGAAGATCTTATCATGCACGCTCAAGACGTATCAATGTGGATTGGTGTGGAAATATGCAGTGCACCCTCKGTTAAGGTATCTCTCGTTCATATCCATGTGGACATACACACTCAAATATACCTTTGCGGACACCCCGTTATTATGAAAACCCCGTTGTTACGGGCACTTCGATATAACGACCACCCCATTATGACAGGCAATATCTTCCTCGCCACCCAAAAATACTGAAAAGAACATTTCAAAGTCGAAACTCGCTATTGCGGACTCGAAGATGAACGGTATAACGAAGGTTCACTTAGCAATCACTCATTGTTGAGTACCATAATACGATTTGATTAATAGTGCGGTGACATTTTCTTGAATTTCATTGCAGAATCAACTGGTCTTAATACAGAAGTACATTAGTGTGGCTAAATACTGTTCAGAAATGAGAAATTTTGCGACGTGCGTTCAAATTGTCGACGCTCTTGAGATGTTTGTTATAAGACAGCTTCCGGTAGGTGATGTCAATGCGTTTTCGTTGTCTTTATGTGCCGCGACAACGTTGCGATATTTTTGGACCGACTAGTCTTATCTATATTTTTTGTTTCAGGTTTGGAAGCAAGTTCCAAGTAAGACAATTCAAACGCTTGATGAACTTAAGGCCATCAAGGTAATTTCCCAGCTCCAAGAAGCAACTATTTAATTTCTCAGTTATCCGTTTATCCACCCACCCACATGTATTCACTTTCTGTGATTATTTTTAAGGTCATTCTCAAAACAGACAGTTCATGGCTTGTAAAAGATGACACTCATCGTGAAAAACCAACAATTCCTTGTTCGCTATTGTTTTTGATGCACGTTCAGCAGCTGGAACTGGGCGGTTTTACTCTGACTAATGGCATGTATAAGTGGACCAAAATGAGGTATGATGAATTTCGTGATATTTTCCTATTCATTTGTGTGGAATCATTGTATTAATTTTCGTCTATTTTTAGGGTATTTCTATTCTAAAGAATAGCTTGCTCCCTCTTTTTTTCTCCTACGCAAACTTTTYGTAGGCGTTTTGTATTATTAACGTCATTTTCAATTTTAATGATGTCATTTRATGTTCAATGACGTCGTAAGCCTCCTTTCAGTCCTTTTCCCGTGTAAAACAGAATTAGTAATACTTTGTTGAGCCTTTTATTGAGTTTTCTGAKGCCATTAGTGTTTTATATACTCGTATTGTTTTGCCAGAAAATATTGTTTTTTGCTACCCATGCTAGTGSACAATTGTTTTTGTTTTGTTAGACTGGCGAGGAAGTTGTTTTTCCTATTGTAACAGCTTTTCCTGTAGTTTACGTTCATTTCAGACAATATTAAATCCTCTCCTACAAGATAAAAAACAATATTTATCGTGTTTTAACTTTTTATTTCAGAGCAATAGCCAGACTTGTAGACCAAATTCGTCTATTCAAGCAAATGCGATACGCGTTTGAGAGCAATGATCAACTCGCGGGTCGACTTCGTGCCCGCATCCTGGAGTGCCGAGAGGAAAATCTGCATGCATTAGCGGCAGAAAACGCTGCGAATTTTCATCTGTCATCCTCACAGGGCTCACGCAAGTTTCATGAGGCTTTTAAGAAAATGAAAGCGACATTTGGAAATGGATAATATATTATACATAATATCCGTTCATAAAAAGGGTGCACGTCGTGATCACCGAGGGGTAGAAACTCTCAAACTCTACTTTAAAAGTTAAAAGAGGCCGCGTGACAAAATCCAACTCTCGAAAAACGAAATCCATTTCCAAGCTTCGTTTATAATTAAATTGTAATTAGATTTTTTAAACATTTAGTATGATATTTGGAATTGTAAATTCACTGYAAAATACTGTTATAAATATTATGAAGATATTATTAGATTTAATGTTTTATTGTAAAAGTGTTCAAAAAAATGACAGTCTACATTGAATTTGTTGTATAGGGGCTATATATCCCGGGACTATACCCTTGATTTAAACCGTATCAAGTCAGCGTCAATACGCATGGTCAGGTGGTAAACCGCACRTCGACGTACCGCAGACTCCGTGTCACTTGCCAATCACCGGGCCGTATGTTCATAGCAACCTGATAGAATTGAAAAATGGATTATTTTCTCTGCAATGCTAAATGACCGTACGTTYATTATTAGTCTTGCTTGCGACGGYTATCAGTGGAACGTGACTAGCTGCGTTCCTCACAAATTTATCTTTTCAGTCTAGTACAGAAGTGAAAAACTCGCTTAGTCTATGACATTTTGCAGCCTTAATTGCCAAAACCTGACGATAAAGTAATAAAAGAATTAAAAATAAATAAATAAAAATAGAAACGCGGCACGCTAGTAGGACCTGCTAAGCGGGATAACAAAAAACTGTGATTGGTATACAGCTGGAAGTCTCATTCTATTTATTATTCTGAAGGTGAAGCAGGAATAATTACAAAGTATAGTAAAAAGACCGTTCTTACAAATAGATGTCAYTGGGTTTGATTTAGTGCAATAATATTTCAACAAATCACGCTCGGTTTCGGACGTGATGAACCTGAGGACGCGTTCTTTGTCGTGTCAGGTTGTGTTATTGCAAAGTTTCTTTTGATAAGGCAAGCTATGGCTATAAAWATTAGTCTTTGGAACGAAAGTTTCATTTTCCATTGTAATATTGCTAATCAAAAGAATTCTGTCTGCCTTGCACATAAAAATATGAAAAAACTACAATATTGAATGCCAGAATAAAACTCTACAGTACTGAAAAAACAACAGCACGAAAACAAACAAACAAAAAAAGAARCAAACAAACAAACAAAAAACCCTGAAAAATTCTAGAGCAAAAAATCTCCTTTCTACTACCCCCACGGAAGTAGAGGAACCGGTGTAATTCTTATTAGATATCTATTGGTTCGATCTTACTGAAATATGTAAATAATAAAAGGAGTGCACAAAGTTGTGTATTTAGTGTAAGTGATTATGAGAAAAGCGACCAAAAATGCAATAATCGAGAAAAAAATAATTTGATGTTTGGCGGTCGCTAGCCCAGGTGAACATGTTCTGCGAACCAATCAGAACTCGTGTTTACCAATACGTCACTAAGTAAGAAAATCTTCTATGGCACGATGATCAATGCATGGCCTTTCTTTTTGCTGAAAAATAGCCTGATGTAATGCACTTTTAGCTAAGCACAGTTTGTTTAAGCCGAACAGGAAGTATTTGTCATTACGTTATCCACTTTTTACGGGTTTTCTACTGGATTTTTGACTGAAAGATCACATTTTCATGAAGCTGCCCGCATTCGGCTTTGCTGAAGCGGGTAGATTCGAATCGCAGTCTTTCCAAAATAGGCTGTCGAACAAGCATCCTTATGGGAGGCATACAATCAAATAGAAGACCTTCTTACGATGCCAATGGACAAGGTAAAAATTATTTAACACCTCAAACAACTGTTATTCTTAACACTTTTGAACGTGTGTACAWTTTTTATCCCATTTTCAGTGAACTTTGATCATTTTCAAATTCTCCGCGCCATTGGCAAAGGTGCATTCGGCAAGGTAAAGAGGGTCATTTTAACTTTTCTATTGTGCAGAGATGTTATGTAATAAATCCAAGTGCCTTTTTTACTGCTTTTTTTAGGTATGCATCGTTCAAAAGAAGGATACCAAAGCGATGTACGCCATGAAATATATGAATAAATACGCCTGCCTGAAAAAGGACGCTGTGAGAAATGTTCTTCGTGAGCTAGAAATCCTACAAAAAATTGAACATCCATTTATCGTAAACCTTTGGTTTGCTTTCCAAGACGAAGAGGATATGTTTATGGTTGTAGACCTGCTTCTAGGCGGAGATATTCGGTACCATTTGCAACAAGGAATGAAAGTGGACGAGAAACGAGTCCAGCTCTACATCTGCGAGCTGGGCTTAGCCCTGGGATATTTAAAAGAAAATCGAATAATCCACAGGTAGAAACAAGATTGTCACTTTTGCATTGTGCTATTTTTTTACTTCCCATGGATTTTTAAGATCAAAATATTGTGCTTTGTTTGTTCTGGCAGAGATGTGAAGCCTGACAACATATTGCTCGATGAAAAAGGTGAGTAAGCTTACATTTCCCGTTTTGTTTGCTGAGTGAAATTTTTCGTTTTCTACGATTTCCTTGTTGTAAAACTACCAGTTTTGCGATTTCGAAGCTTCATTAGCTTATGTTATTGTAATGTGGATTCGTTCAATGTTGAATAATATTTGACTTGTTTATGTTTCGAAAATTATTTTGATCTCCATATGATCTGATTCTAAACGCAGTTCTAAATGCTGATCGACCGATATTTCAAACAATACAAAATTTATGCCTCTGTAAAATGACTTAGTTTCTGTCCAAGCAAATACATAGAAACCCAATTGGGGGCGGTTCAAAACAATGTTAAATTTTTACTCAAAAACGGAGGGCAGTCAGGCAACAACGCGAGTGTTATATTTTGTGAGCTGTCGTCTTAAAGAAATTGTTATTAAAATTGCTGTTCCTTATGATTGATTGCTGTAAAATCGAAATATATTATTTCGATATATGATCATTTTATACGAACATGACGTTATAACAACTATTTTGTAACTTTATACTTTAAACTTACTGATTTTTGCAAACCTTGTCGAGCGTTTTAAAATGTTTATTTATAAATGTGCAAAGTTCTGTATTAAAACAGTTGCAAATTATCATGCCGTGACATTGATGCTTGGCTCGAAGTTGTAAACATATCATGGCTAGTCATCCGAAAATATATTTAAAAGTGACGAAAAATGTTAATTAATAATAATACATAATAATTTTTATTAAAATATTGATTTGAAATTTAATATAAATGGCACTCAGCGAATATAATGTAAGATTACTTTGATTATTATACACTTTGCATGATAATTGCTGATTTGTATCCAACCAACTGCAAATCAACTAGGACAAATCCACTATTTTATTTGGTCATTCAACAATTACCATCGAGAATAGGAAACAAAAAAATTGTTTTTCATGTTTCTGATCAACTTATAATAGTCTATACTGCTATGTAATTTTATCGATAGCCATTAAAAATGAATAGCATTGCCCCAATCACTTATTTGAGTTATAAATTATAATCCTTTTGCAATTGCTAACAAAGTGACTGCTTTATGATAACAATAATGAGTTGTCTTATCACRTGCCTTTATTGTCCATTCTCTAGGACATGTTCATTTGACAGATTTCAACATTGCCACTGTACTTGACGAGGGAACCTTGGCAACATCTATGTCTGGGACCAAGCCTTATATGGGTAAGCATACACTGATGTCAGATTATTTGGAAATGTCGCATGATTCACATTGAGATTAGAAGAAAAATATATTGAATCATGTACCAGTTGGTGTGCAGGTTGTCTCTATTTTAGACTAATCTATTGATAATATTATTTGGTGTTGGTTTCATCTAGAAGCATCATTTTATCTCAGTATCTGCTTCCTTTTTATTTCATCCATTCTTTCTTTCTTTTATTCRTTCATTTATTTATCTTTTCATTTGTTMATTTTCTCATTTATATGATAATATTATAGTCATCTTTCTGTTTGTATGTTCCTGAATCATCCATTTTTCAGCAACCAGTTATCCTATCTTTCCTAATTCTTTCTGTCAGTCAATCATTTGGCCATCTACMYATTCATGTATTAGCTGCTTCATGCATTCAGGGTTTTTTTCATTAATCCTGGGGCTAGCTGGTGGTTCAATGAATGGAAAGTGCTATTCTCTGGATAAGTCCWTATCAAGCAGATAAAATCTCCACAAAACCTAAGCATTTGATAACTATTATCCCAAGGATAATCTCCTTCTTCTTACACCTGTGTTTTTCAGTTTTTCTTTAAATTGATGTACTCATTTGTTCAAGTCCAATTTTCTTTACTTAGAGTMTTTTCCTGATAATTTGCCTTGTGAGGGATCTATTAATAGATATGAATTCCTCGAATCCCTTCAATGTATTCCTTATGACGCTTTGGGTTGATAAACCGTTTGCTTGAGGGTAAAAACACTTAAAAGCTTTTCAGTGCAATGTGTATTTAACATTTCTGTGTCAGGTGTCAAAAATAATAGTATCATGTGTCAAAAATCTTTCAAAATACAAAATAAATTGTACACATTTGTATTTTATTGATCTAGGTTACATGCTGGCAATATATTTTATTTGCTTTAATAGCTTGAAGGGAAATAACTTTATTTCACACACATATATTGCATGTTGTTGATAATGTGGGTTAAGTGAGCAATCTCTATATTATACCGGAAATTTACTCRGTTCAAAGAGAGTTTTTTCCATTCAACAAGATCTTGTAGTTTTTTTATTCAATGTCAAAGTGCATGCATGTTTATAGAAACAAAGGGGCRTTACCATAGTTTGCTTATTTTATTAAAGTTATCAATTTAAATTATTATGGCTTCTTTACAACTGCCAACAACCTGAATATCATGGATTCTTTCAACATTTTTTCTACTCCAGCCATGGATACAAWCCCTTTATTTTAATGGGTTTTACCCTTGTACTAGTGTGGCTCTTGTTCAAAATACAATGTTATCAAGAGCAGCTTTGAAATCAAACAATTGTTTTCAATTTTTGAAAAAGGGTTTTGTGCGATTTTGTCATGCAAAGCTATAATGCACTACTCAATTATGATTTACAAGTTGAAATAGTGCACTCAGCCTATGTATATCATGTATAGTTTACAACATGAGCGGCCGTGTTGTATGGGAATTACAATCTCGAGCCGCAGGCGAGAGATTGTAATTCCCATACAACACGGACGCGAATGTTGTAAACGACTTATAAAACTCCAACACAAATTAACATGAATTACAGTGAGATAAATGACGAAAAATGACAAATAAGGTAACTGCTGAGTTTAGTCCCTATTAAGCATGCGCAATTTACTGCAACACAGAGCATTTTGAATAATTATCCATCCCACATGGAAAGCAAGCCATCTGTTGTATAAGCGAGTTCTGTTATCCGTCTTTGATTGCTTCAAAACCTAGTGAAGGTCTATGATGCGACACTAAAACTGAGACCTTTGCTAGTGTTGGGTTGTCTCAATGGTGACGACCGTGTTGTAAATCTGATACAACACTAGTGGTTGTATCAGATTTACAAGGTCAATCACCTGATTAAATGGTCAGCCCTTATTGGAGCAATAGCTTATGCATTATTAATAAGTTTTATAATATTATTTACAGCACCAGAGATCTTTCAAACAGCATGTGGCAGCATCCAAGGGTATAGTTTCTCTGTTGACTGGTGGAGCCTAGGAATATGCGCATATGAGATGCTTAGAGGAAGGGTAAGAGTTATAATTGGTCCATCCTCTCAGATAGAAGGATCAGATTCCACATTTCAAATGTAAAGTATGCCTGGAGCTTGTACAAAGATTGTACAAAGGTTGTTCTACTTACCCGCTCCAGAGATCTTATATGGATTTAATGACCAGATAGGGATTTAAGTGAATAGCACTATTTACACCAGCCTCTGATGTGTTCAAAAAAAATTGGTTTATATCTAAGTATTGACTGTAAAAATTAAACAAGATTAGTTTATAAAATCTTATTTACAAAACATTAGATTAAAGTCACTAAAAGGAAGCATGCAAACTTAAGCACGCCATATATAATCTGTTGATTAAGCAAAACAACAACAACAACAGCAACAATCAACAATTAGGATTCCTGTATATTTTATGTACTATTTTTGTAACATTTTATAATTAATATAATTTTTACAATCTACAGAGGCCATTTGAAATATTGTTATAACTGTCATAATTTATTGTGGTTAAAACACATCAATGATCTTTCTGTCGACCAGAGACCATATGAAATCCATGCCAACACAGGAATACAGGATGTTAATCAGATGTTTTCTTCTGAGTCAATTTACTATCCTCAAAACTGGTCAAAGGCTATGACAAATATTCTACAAAAGGTAAAATTATTTTAATTAATTAAAATTGTCAACTTCTTGGTTTCTTGGATTTTTATATTGTGTGAGCTCCACACCTCTTTCCTGAATTTGCTTGCTGATCGCAAAATAATGTTTTCAAGTAGAGGCTGGGTTTGGGCGGATCCATGCACTCTTTATCCATTCTTTTTTTTTTAAATACAAAACTTTTTATTATACTACAAACAAATATCCATACAATACACTACACAACTAGTATCCGATAAATATATGGACTTTACACTTGCTATTACATTTGTTCAGTTTTCCTTATAACTTTATTAAAAATAGTTTAAGTAAAAAAAAGAGGAAGGCACAACAAGCAAATACGCAACAACTTTTCTAATTGAAAAACAGTGCACATTACAGACAGTATACATATACGAATCCTCTTTATCCATTCAATTATTTGTTCACATTCCACTCGTTTACRCTAAAATCATTAGTACCACAACCTTGCATCCATCCCTTTATCTGGCATTCATCCAATTGTGCATCCATCCATTTTTTCATTCACCCATCCAATATTACTTGCAGCTGCTTCAACAAGACCCAAGACTTAGACTAGCGACAGTAGAGGACCTTAAGCAACATAAAATCATGGCATCTGTCAACTGGGTTGACATTTWTGAAAAGAAAGTCAAGCCTTCGTTTGTACCACCAGTAAGACAGCATTATTATCTCTTAGAAATTTGTGCTATCCTGGGCAAAAAGGCATTTTTATTCTGAAWATGATTTATTTTTAATTTGTTCGCAGAAAGATCACCTGAACTGCGATCCAACATATGAACTTGAAGAGATGATTATAGAGTCAAAACCATTACATAAAAAGAAGAAACGACTTGCAAAGATGACAAGTAAAATTGTAAGTATTAATGGACACCTGCTATTTAAATTCAAGTACACTTTTAGAGCTTAAAATTTAAATAAATTTATTTAGAAGAATAAGTAAAGGAATATTGCCAACAAGTTGCAACACTGTCTTGTTTGGCATCTAATCT